GGTGGGGGTGGGGGGGAGAGTATGGCACCAGGTCTGTTAGGGAGTACAGTTTACTGAGACCTAGAGTGCTGGGGCCTTTTGGACTCCACAGTCCTAGTTAGACTTCACTGCACAACTCTGTAATAGGCAAGTGGAAGACAATGAAAATGGAGGTTGTTTATAAAATGTCAGACTGCGTGACTTTATACTTGGGCTTTGAAGCATAACTCCACTTACTTGTTTTTAGCTTTTTGACAAACTTTATATTGCAAGATACAGCATTGAAATAAATAGTAATTAGTTTATGACTCTGTCTTTATATGAGATTTATGTCTCATGCATAGACAGGCCCTTCAAGTATCCACTGTGGCAAATGGTAAATGTTTTGCTAGTTGCCCTGAGGGAACTGTTGACAGCATGGAATGCTGTCTATGATACCATTGCATAGGTGAATACAGACAACCTGGTTGCCAGTAAGAAGGTCTATATATCCTATTAGGCACAATAGTTGTTTCAGCAACCTACACAGACACAATAAAAAAGGATACATATTGAATACTGTTTACAGAGTTTACTGTATTAAAGTCCTGTTTTACAATAATCAATTTGACACAATGGGAAGGTAGAATTCTTGCAAAATTAAATCTTAGGAGCCAATTCAAAAAGCATCAGTATGGCTATAAAAATAGAGCATCAATGCACACTGTGCCCCGCCATTATTGAAGGTCCAAAGCCAGCAAGCACAATAAAACTAAATGGAACTTGTGGAAAAACACAAAAAGCCAGCAGGAAAGCTTGATCATGTGACCTGTCAAAGTCAAATCATGGAGCTTTCTGCATTAAGCAGAGGAAACTCCATTGGGGTTCTGACCTGCAATTTATGAATGGGCTGTGGTGTGTGTAGCCGCTTGGTGTAAAACGGAGAATGCTTAGTGGTATAGTTATAAATTAGCTACTTAATTTATTGTAAAATGAATAATAAACAAAAAAGCAAATGCTGTCAAGGTATTATGGGCAGAGATATCAGATGCGTGTTACATGACTAATCAGATTAAAATAGAAATGTACATATCTATGGATCCCTGCATACACTCTGCATACACTCTGAGGCAGGGATGGGTGCCCAGTCCATTTTGTTCACATTTGGTCAAAGCATGTGTGTTGTTTTGCCAAGAAGCAGTCATTCAACAGTAAGGGCTTTGGAAAATCTCGTGCCTATGGACACCTTTAGGTAGATCACTGGAAAGCTATGGGTGCAAGAACTACTGTATTATAGGAATACTGATTTAATGGTATTTACCCACCAGTTTACACTGATTCCAGCTGTGAATTTCCTCCGATTCAGCCCACTCCGGGAAAAAGAGCAGCAGCACAGCTTTTAGTATACTGTGCACCATGACCGGTGGCTCCTTGTAGCTCTTCAGTTCAGCAAATGATTGGTGATCCAGTTTGCTAACACAGTGCCTTAGATCTTGCAGCATGAAGCGATGAAACAGAACTCCCACTTTTCTCTGTCCTGGTACTTGTTCTGCCTCTGTGGTCACAATAGTAGAGAATCACCCAATTTATTCAGTCAGTTACAATATATTTAGCATACAAGGTTTGATGTATAGCTTATTCACCTGCCTAGATTGTAGAAATCTTGAAGCACTTTCGGTCACTGATGTAGGGTATGATGTAGTAAAAAGACCACTGAAGAATGTAATCTGGGCTTCTTGGCATTGGTTAGTCACACTTAAATCATATCTAAACCCAAGAACATATAATATAATACAGCTTACTAGGCCCTAGATGTGGTGGCTGCATCAATTTTTTTTTTTGTAGGCTTTTTTTCTCTCTTCATTTTCACCTAGTAATCATGGCAGTAACGCATTTCCTTTACTAGGTTGATAGCGCTTACTCATTGGACTGTACCTATGAAATACCCCCTCTCCCCTTTTCCATAACATAGAAGGGAGGGTTTGTGTAGCCCTCAAAGATAGCTGGGAACAATGTAACTGAATATAGGAATCAGAGGCAAAGACTACAGGAAGTTATCAGTTTTGATATGACCAACAAGTTTTTGTTGTACTTGTCTAACAAATATAATAAAACACCTTCAATGGTTTATTTAACCGATGAAGAGAGACACAATAAGAAAAGTTAATTTTTAGGGTTTACATACTCTTTAATATTTCAAGTCCACCTTTTACCTTATTGTAATTTTTATGCTATGTTCTTCCTTACAGATCCAAAATGCTTGTTTTTGTTCTTTACATTTTACTTTGGGGTCTTTTTCTCCCTTTTCTAACACTTTTGTTTTTGCAATAATGAATGAAATATTGCCAAGACATCCTTCTTTCATTTCCTCAGCTTAGATATGGATATGGCTGCTTACAGTTTATGAGAGGGTGCACCTCTATTGATACAGTTGTGATAGTTTGATCAGATGTTGATTACATGTGAAGATGTGTGCACACAATGTACGAGGGGATATAGGACACCTGCTTTTTATTCTAGTTCAATTTATTAATTTTAACTTTTCTTGTAAATAATATCATGGCCACGGACGTCCCTACACATTTCACTGTCTGAGGCGGTGTTTCGGTCTGGGGTGGTTGTGCATGTTATGGGGGGGAACGGGGGCACATGGTTCCTCTGTCCTGCTTCCTGCGCAGTTCACCGACATCACTGGTTGCCAGGAGCTGGGCAGGATGCCAGCCAGAGCGTCCTGCCCAACTCCTGGTAACCAGTGAAGTCAGTGAGCTGGGCGGGATGCTGGCCAGAGGGTCACAGTTTGCGACGAGCAACCTGTGATGCTCTGGCTGATAGGAGACACACCTACTGCCCCCCTCTCCCCCGGGTGACCCAATCAGATGTCACCTCATGCTGCTTCATTTTAGCAATGGTCCTGACCATGAAATTAATTTCATGTGTGGCAGCTTCCCTGCTGTATGGCTATGAGAATGACCTATCGCATGCAGAAGGTATATAACTCCATAGGACCCTAACATAAAAATGCACACAATTCTGCTATGATCTTGGGGCCTGAATTGTTTTAATGTGTTAATGGTATGGTTCCCCTCTTGTAGACATATATTGGATAGAATTACCTGGTGTTTAAGTACCTATATTCTGCAGTAATGAATTGACAACCCTGGGTATGCAGTTATGCATTGTGGCAGTTTGAATGTGAAGCGTGAATTAACAAGTTCGGCTGACACAGTTATAAATCAATGGAGACCGTTTTTTAACATATGTATTTTAATTGTATATTTGTCTGAACTATATTTTAATAACAAACCTTCATTGGTTTTTTTAATATAATGTTTTATAATCCAGTGTACCTATATACCTAACATCCTATATGCTATAGAAATCAAATTTTAAACAAGGTCTGCTGTAAAAAAGTAATACATTGGTACAGAGATTCCATTACTGTCTTAGTCTAAGGCCGATACTGCCATCTTGTGGTTTCAAATGGTTATGCAAGATTCTATTTTACTGCTGGAACAAAATGCAAAAATGGAAATATACTAACTCCCCATTCACACCTCGATGTACCGGGAACACATGCATGTGTTGCATTTGTGCATGTTTGCATGCATTTTTCCATGTTTGCCGCACATTGCCCATTGATTTCAATGGGTGTCACACGCGTGACAAACACAGGAAAGTAGCTCATATAACAGATTCTGCTACAGGCATACCACGTTTTTTCCTGCGCTTTTGTGTGCGTCTTAACACTCGGCGATGCGTGGGTAAAATGTGTGTTTTTCTGGCTGCATATGGGGTGCCGTTAACAAGTAATGGAACTGCAAGCGAGATGCACGTTTTTGACGCCTTCTGTGAATGCCAATCACAGTGCATCCATGATGTGTGCTTGGCATGCATTCATGGAATGCAAAGTTGTGAATAGGGACTAAGTGCTACCATTAGTGCATTAAGCTGGGGCATGCAGTACAAATTCTCAATAGGACTGAATAGAGAGTGCACAGCACATGCGCAGGCCATCTAAAAAAATGTTGTCAGACTCTGCAGCCTTGTCACAAATATTTTGCTGGATCGGGGATAGGCGAGTAAAGAACAACCCCTTGTTTTAAGGGCAGTGGTGGCTTCAATTTAAGTGTAACTTTACCAAAAGCAAGCATTAAAGAAGAACTAGTTATGGCTGAACTGGTTACTTTTCTCCAGTCTGTGCCATGATATCATGGTTACACCAGACTTACCTAAGACAGCCTTTTCTGTTGTATTCTTAAATGGCTGATCATCCAGAATTTCATTGCATGCTTCCTGCAGCATCTGTAGCATCTTCTGCAGATCCTGATATTCATGAGGGGGCAGCTCCTTGCAGTGGCCAGTGTTGAGGTCCAATACACCTAGAGCTCTTCCTGTATGGTCGCGAATAGGTACAGCGATGTGACGTTCTCCATAGGCATCAGTGGTGATGACCTCAGAGCTATCTGCACACTTGAACAGGTAATCCCTGTTAAAAATGGTGGTTCAGATTAGAACATAATCTTTGGTCATACCCGTATCTTAAAGCTATTGTTTTACAACCCTATAGTTTGTTTTACCTATCTCTCACTTCACCTATCACAAATCCATCCTTACAGCAGATGAAGATGAAAATATTTTAGCATATTTGTAGTCGATACACTGCCTGTTTTGTTGCAAATGAATAATCCTATATAGCGTACAGTGGATGAATATTTGTAGATTTGTGGTTGTTCATGAATTTTGGGTGTCACGACTTGTTATTCTGCAAGTTCTTGTAAGTAGCTGCCAGTTCTTGATTATTAATAGTTGTCATAGGGGTCTTAGATGTCAATGTATTTAATATCAACCGTATGTAAGACTACTACTACACATTAAAATCAATAGTCTGTTAAAAAAAAATGGGTACGTTCGGCCCAGTAAACATATGGTCATGGTTCCTAGCCTTATTATACTAGTTAAAGGCCAACTGAAGCTTGAGTGGCAAGTACGTAGAAGGATTTACTAGTGAAGCAAAACTTAATGCAGAAGGCTTATTGACCACAGATCTTTTATTGTTCACAAGCACCGGATGAAAGATCCAAATAATTTGTGCTAACACATACAGTTTGCGCTACTAGAACAGTACATAGTACAAAGAAAAAAGACACTAACCTGAACAGGTTGTCTCGCCTTCGAAGTGTGGCAGGACTAGTGTAGATCTCAGACATGCCTGTGTTATTGTCTGTGTGCATCATATTTCGAAAGACATAACCCTGTGCCTAGAACACAAAGAGATCCATTCAGATTCTGACAGCAGTTTAGTGCAACAGTAATATTGGAAACCATAAATGTATCTGGATATAGCAACAGAAAAAAAAAAGATCTGCACAACCAGAAATGTTATGTAATTTTGAAAAAGAAATCGCTCCAGGGCAAAACATTGCTGCTACATTCTGCAAATGATGACGCCCTGGCTTCAATGCTTTGAATCACTGACCCGGAACAAGCATGTACATGAGGACTTATGCCCTTCCTGATCCGCATACTTGTTCCTGGTCAGTGACTTAGACAGTATTGAACCTACAGGGTCAGAATAACAGCCAGGCAACTAGCTATTTTAATAGCAGCCTCCTCTAGAAAGGTTTACTTTATAGTATATCTAAATACAAAACTTTTTTTCTTAGGTTTGTAAAGATTTTTTTGCTATTTAGGTCCCATTAGGGAGATTTCACCTCTTGTCCTGTAGATACAGCAGGAAGTGAGGAAAATCCCTTTTTAGGCAGTTGTTACCCAAATAGGTTTCCTCATTGAAAGATTTCCTGCTGTATTACTGTTCTGGTAACAAATACATTAGCATCGTGTGTTTTCATGGTACTGGTGACCAGTCTGCCTGCATTATGGAAACACATGAAGCCATATCCCGGCACCCCTGAGAAAGCCATATGGCACCCAAGTGTGCCACGGCACAGCGGTTCATAAAGGCTTTTCTAGTGTTTCTATAATAGCGATACACATATGCACACACGGTAGGTCCAGTTTTGCTGGAAACCTGTTAACTTACCAATATGTTTTGGAGCTACGTAACAAGAGGTGATTTTCTCCCGGAGATCCGAACTCTAAAAATAATAACCCTTTATGGTGTGATTTGTCTATCTACCGAGTCCGTGACCAAAACTATATGAAGAAAGAGTGGAAGGACTAGCCATGCAAGGGTAGCTGGTCCAAGAGGTCACTAGGGGATTGGGACAGACAACGTGATTATATTGTAAAAAGTATTTATTAGTACAAAAATATCAAAAGAAGTGATAATATAGACACCACCCTCTATTCACAGACATAAGATTAAAAATTCAAACATTGTCTGCAGACTTCAAACATACGTCCTGACGAAGCCCCAATGTGGGAGGGGAGAAACGCGTAGACGCTGTTTGACTGTCGGGCTGGATGGCCACAGTATCTTTCACTCATGGCTGAGATATCATGATGAACAACGGACCACAACCAAGTGACCGATTTCAAGTATGGATAAGATGTGATCACATCTGAAAAAACTTACAAAGTTTCCATGGACAAACAACTCATGTGAGTAATGACTCTACATACACAGGAACACCTGATGTATCCTTCTCACTCTGTGTAACCTCTTCGAATTACATCTTACCACTCTCTGATGACATCGCTGCTACAAAATATACAATATGATGATTATCTGCTGAATCCAGCATCAAAACTCCAACTGCTGAGGCAGGCTGTGAGTAGCAGATGTTAGATTGTCATTGTATGAGCTATACAATCTTATCACTGAGTGCACAACGTACTGTCTGTTTCCAATACTTTTCTGTGATAAAACCACACAAATATTCCTGGATTGGATGTTCACACCAAGGGATTAAGGATTACTTTAGCCATGGTTTTATAGGCACGAACGTCCATTGTTTATACCAGGCTTTCAACACTCAGAAATAACCATCTGTCATCTTTTATCAGGATTTTAACAGAGCACATACCATCTTTCATCATTATCAGCCTTGTCAGCAAATTGATTTCCACCTTGCTGCATTATACTCGGCAATTTGATTCTGTTTCCATGCTTGCTAATACTGATTATATTGCAATTGTTTGGTCCCGTTATGCTACATCAAACCATTCATGTCTTAATAACATGTGGATTATCCATCCAACCCGTGTATGTTTGAAGTCTGCAGACAATGTTTGAATTTTTTATCTTTTGTCGGTGAATAGAGGGTGGTGTGTATATTATCACTTCTTTTAATATTTTTGTACTAATAAATACTTTTTAGAATATATTATTACGTTGTCTGTCCCGATACACTAGTGACCTCTTGGACCAGCTACCCTTGAAGGCTAGTGCTTCCTCTCTTTCTTCATGTTTTGGAGCTGTGGGAGGAAACCAGTGACCCAAAATAAACCCACACAAGTGTAAAATATTTAAAAACGTCTATATGGATTGTGTCATTGATGGGAATTATCTTTATAATTCATATTAATAATTTATAATGCAGCAAAAAAGTGATCTGCAGTTTATGGTTAATACAGAATTATTCATACGAACCAATGTCCTGAAGGAGATTACAGTCTAACTTTGTTCCTCCTATCACATATACACTAAAACACAAAGGCCAGTGTGGGTAGAAGTAAGTTTAGCAATCAGTATGATTTTTCTGGGTTGTAGAAGTAGTAGAGTATGGTTCTCTTATCACCATAACTTAACCGTTTACACTAGCCCTTACCACTCAAGTGTGTATTCAGCCTGAAGAGATCTAAGGTATCCTGATAGCTTGCATCTTTATAAACTTACGTGAAGCAACAAAGGGTATCACTTAAACCCCAAAATATCTGTGGATTTGGGTTGTAGAAAGAAAACAGATGCATAAAGAAGAACCAATGAAAACATGGGAAGATTATACAGACTCCATGCCGATAGTGTCCCTGGTGGGAACTGAGCTTTCCAACCCAGAAAGATCACGGTGCCAATATTCAGTTAACTGTGTGAGTGATTTATTACAACAAAATGAAGCTTAACATCACATGTAGAAAGGCAAAATAATTGCAGCAGGCTTTTATATAGGATATTGGTACCTTGTCTGCGCAGGGCTCCATTAGGTAAGTATTGATAACTCGGATGTTGGGAGCTCTGCTATAAATCCAGGCAAATGCACTGCTTACAAGTTGTAGAATATCACTCTTCCTCTGTACATGGTGGTATGCTGAACTGAATGCATTGGTCACACCCTAAAGAAACATATCACAGATTACAGAATGTGGAAAGCAGATAGAGTGCAGAGAAAGCACATTCATTTTTATTTCCTGAAAATTGGACAAAAAATTGCTTGACAAATGTAAAATCAGGTTAAAAGAAACTTGTACTGAGAAAATATGGAGGCTGACCTTGTTGAAAATGCTAGTTGCCTGGCTGTTCTGACCTTGTCAATTATATTTCAGTAACTTGACCCTCCTCAATACTTTTTGAGTAACTTGAACTTTCTTAATAATTTCTTAGTAACTAACTCAGAGGAAATATTAAGCTTAAAAAAAGACTTCTGACTTTAATTTGACTTCATCAGACGCATGCTTGTTCTAGACCATTGGCATAATCCCCCCCCCCCCCTCCACATGATTAGGTAGTCAATGTAATTTGCAATTACCTCTGTGCTGTCCTTTGCGAGATACAGGAGGTAAATGTTAACCATGAAGACGCATAAATAACACATTAAACTGACTTTCAACATTCTTTTAAATGTATACTTAGAGTTCTTCTACAACCTGAAAACTGTTTACTTGCATGATCATTTTTGTTCTGAGAACTTGAACTGGGAACAGGTTAAGGATACAGTATGCACATTACTTGGTTTAAAAGCACACATTTATACACACCTGATAAAAGCTAATTTCATGTGTAAGGAAGATATTTCTATCACGAGGTTCTCTTAGGGTGTCAATACTGAGGGTCCCAAAAACCCTCTCCTGCGTATCTGTTAGTGGCAGTACAATGAGAGATCCCTTCTGCTCCTCTTCTGGGCGCTCTTTGTTCCAAAAATGTATGTTACCATGATACTGAACTCGAGGCACATGCTGCGGCATACCGCTGTCCACTGCTGCAAAACTGAGACAATGCATGATAATAGAAGATGTTAATGCTTTTTAAAGCCTGATTATTGTTATTTTTCGGCAATCACAGAATGAGATTGTGCTGTGGGGAACAAAACTTAACAGACTTATAACTCATTTACATCTATATGATAACATTCCAATATAAAAATAGCACACATTTGATAGAAAGTATGTATTCATTTTACTCCTTCATGTAAAATGATATATGACATTATGCAGTAATCCATAATATAAAAAGCTTTCATCTGTAGAATTAAAGTAAACTGCTAAAAGCTGAAATACGATTGGTTTTAAATAAGCATCATCATGAAAAGTGACAAAGTAAGTCACACATGTGGTTATTCTTGTACCTGATACCCTTCATGTCTCTGTGTAGTGTCTTGTTTAATACATATAAGGCATCCTCTGAGGTACAAGCAACGCAACGTATAACCTCATTCCATCTTTCTCCAGGTGAGCTTTGCTCCAATAGTGCGATGTTTGCACTGATCTTTTTGTTATTTCCATGGGCCTCTGCATCCTTTTAATAAAGGAAAAGCATGATTACCTGGAAATCACTGGTAATCTGTGTACAAAGTTCATATGGAGTATTTATTCTTAGCGCATTCTGTTGTTTACAATACTTGCCTTGTAAAGGGCCTGAAATACAGCTTTGTATACCACCTCCAATCTCCCGCCACTGGTCTCAGCAACTGTCTGAATGTGTTGAAGCCACTTCCTCCGGGTGGCTCCTCGAAGTTTCTCTACCTGTGTACGCTCAATGCTGGAGGTCAGAAACTCAATCACATTCTCAAACACCTCTTCTTCTGATCCTGGTAGCTCATGGATGACACCCAAGATGTACCTAGTGAACTCACTCGCTGACAACTTCCTTGACCCTCGCTGAGATTGTGAGGATGTCAGGCTCTCTCTTTCTGTACAGGAAAATGTATATATATAAAATATATTGTGATATAGCATGTCAGCCCCTGAGTTACTTAAAAGACAATATTCACTGTTCATTGGTAGTTTGTTTTAAATAAAAAGGAATAGATTCCCTCATGGATAGAATTGTGACTTAAATTCAAGAAATAGTGGACAGAAGCAGGGCATATAAGGTTGTGTTCTTACTGGTATACCCGCAGGGTCTTTGTTTTTTAGTTTTTTTTAAGATTAATACACATATATCTTCCAAACATCCAAGGGTAAAGTTAATTCCTTCTTCTTCAAAAGTTATATTGGTTGACACTACCTATAAGTGTTCTGGTAACCTTACAAATTTGGCTTAAAAAAAGATTATTTCTTATTTATTTTAATTTCAGAGCTTACATGACATATAATGTAATGTTCACAAAAGTGGAGGTAGGAGGTGCTGGATACAAAACTGGTTTAGTTTTCTAGTGTGAAGATAAGTCTATACTTCTTCATTTTATTGGCTCTAGTTAGGCTGTTCTCTAACATGAAAGGGGCCTCACAGGCTCCTTGAGTGCACATTGGAGAGTGTAGAAAAAACAAGAATGCCACTCCAAGGGTTTAGGTGTCCAAGAGTATTTATTTAATCATAGAAGTCCAAAAACAATATTCCAATGTACTTCAGGTTCATCCCTCATCAAGACTCAAACTACTGGTTTGGATAGAGTGCTTGACTTGAATGTTAACTCTGGAATAAAACTGGCTCCATTATTCCAAAAAACATGCTTCAGCAGCTGGTTGTGTAATATAACCCAGTGATCAGAGGCAGGAGAGAGCGGGATATGCCCCTGATGATGTCAAGGTCCCCACCATTGAGGCTAGAAGAGAATAGAGTGTGCCCAGGCTATGTCACATATGTAGTTGTCCTCTACTTCTTCCATTTAGGTATTATATGACACAGGTATAGTGTGTGTGTGTGTGTATATATA